ACAAGTTAATATTTCTAAGTGCTCGATAGCTTTTTCGCTTGACCATATTCCCATTCCACCCACCGTGATGAGTAGGACAAAAGTCTATTTTGCTTTGGTTTTCTAGTCTTCAAGTGTTGAAGTATGGATGTTTTAATTGGTTTTTCTTCTATCAGCATGGCTTCATTGAGAACTTGTACGGTCGAATTTTCAGCTGAATATTTGTCCATAGATAGGCCTGCTATTCACTATAAACATCCCAAAGTTTGAGTACGACAAGCATACCCTTGGTACGACACTTACATTTTAAAGAAACGTCTTTTTTAGCTGTGTTTCAAAAAAAAAGATGTTCCTATGACAAGTTGATCTCTCAATAAAGATATGTTTGTTCTATCTCAAACTTTGGGATGTTTCTAGTGAATAGCAAGCCTATCTATAAACAAAATTTTAGCTTGAACTTTGATTATTCAGGTTCTCAACGATCCTATATTTGTAGGGTAAAAATTGAGTAGAGCGCCTATAACTCAACACATAGAGATTGACAAGTTAAAGCAAAACAGATTTTTTTTTTTACTACTCATTATGACCAATCGAATGGTCATAGTGTCCAGAAAAAAAATGATTGAATAGTTGCGGATGTCTCCTCATCAGCACTAGAAATTGAACTGAAAGATGTTAGACCTAAGATAAAAGCAGTCGCTTGTTAAAACAAATGAGACTTAACTCTTTATATGATTGTTGAAATAATTATTGAACTCGAAAGTGAAAACTTAACACCCACACCCTCCATACTTGTGTCATAAAGGGTGTCATTGTAGATTCTAGTCTTGTCTTCACTAACACTCACACCCTTTTATTATTTTTGCATTCAACAACAACAAAGAAAGTCTACATTCTTTTTTCCATTTGACATAGTAAACTGATAGAAAATGCACTATTGGAAAATTTCGAACAATGTTTATTCAATATTTATCATTTTCACGTTTGGTGTTTGGCAATTTTACCTATGCGTTTTGTAATCCTTAAATTCGGGGTTTTTTTTTGCTTTGAAATTTCTACTACTTATTTATTCTAAAATTAATGTTTTATGTTAATTCAATAAGAATAGAATATTGTGAACAACTATCATGTAATTTCTGAATTCTTTTGATGTATTTATTCGTCATAAAACAAATTCATTATTTATATATCATTATTTTATTTTTAAAAGATGATCACTAATGAAACTAATCGTTATGTATCACCATATGAAAATGATTTACGACGAATATTTAATGAAAAAAATAAATCTAAAACAGCATTGATATCATCATGGGATACATTATCAATATCCGATCGTAGTATATTAAGAAAAATTAAAGGTAATTGGAAATGGCTTCATTTATTACTTAAAGATTATCTACCATCGATACCACTTTGGTCAAATTTAATACATTCCATATCAAATAATCTTAAACATGTTCGTTTTAATAAACGTATGACAAGATTAATGATTAGTAAAGATAAACGAATTAATCAAATAAAACGTATTCAATTAGCTGAACGTGTTCATAGAAAAACTGATCTTGTTATAACCAGTCTAGCAAAAGATCTATATTCACAAGTAACTAGTGCTGATTTAAAACAATAAAAAGAAACAACAGCACGAACAATTGTTTTTATTTCTACGTTTGTACAGTGTTGTTTTCCTTCTTTTTTTTTTACTTTCAGTTAAAATGATTCTCTTTGTATTTATATATATATGACTGTTTTCTAGTGAATTTTCTTGTTTCTCAAACAAACAAAAAAAAAAATGACTGTCGATTATATCATAAAGATTATTATACTGATCATAACAAATAGATAATGGTATTTTTAATTGTTATGAGTTAAATTAATTGAACATAACCTAAAATGAAATATTTTATTGAGATAATGGAAAAATCTGAGCTACTCGTTTCATCTTTTTTATTTTTCAATAACTGTGATTGTTATATAATGGTAATCTGACCTTGATATAATATTTTAATAAAAATTTTTCAAAAAATGTATGCATCATCAACCTCAATCATTTATACATTAGAAAAAAAAAACTTCATCATAAGCATTAGTTATAGTGATGTAACGATGACCTTTCATCGCCCACTTATATAGAAATGTACTTTCATTAATTGTCGTTATGATCAGCGAAGTGGGTAAAACAAAAATTAACGAGTGATAGGCCCTCAGTAAATTCCTATAAAGTTGATCAACATGTCAGGTACTAATGTTGAAGGTAATGTCAATTTAAAACAAAAAATAGATGACTTTTTCTTTTGAATAAACTTTGATACAGCACTACGATTTTTACCGTTTGACAGCAAAGATGCATTCGCATAGAGTCATATGTTGTAGGTTTTTCTAGGATATTTTCTAAAATTCTTTTAATCAGTTTCCCAAAAAAACCTACTGGAAAAATTCTTTGTTATCGAATAAGAAAAACGCAATGGAATTTTTTTCATATCAATTGCTGTATAAATCTATTGAAACTTTTGAGTAAAAGACTTATCATTCTTGTATGATTGAATGTAAAAACGTGAGAACCGTGTAATTTTATCGATCTTCAACTGCTCGTTCGAATGTATGTTTGATAATTGAAAATTCACTCTAATCACCTTACTAGGTACATTAGTTTTCAAAAAGGTCGATTAAAAACCTTCAAAAAAACAAGGCCAAATATACCTGTAATATATACGATTCAATCAGTGTTTATCTCCTCTTTCCAAAGGTGTAAAAACCGCAGTTCTCTATCTTATTTTGATTAAAACTTATAGAATCTCAACAAGAAACTTGTCAATTACCGTCACTATAATGTTGCATACCTCGACTGATGTACTTGTAATATGATGTATCGGTCACCTACTGTCATCGCTTCATCTTTAGTTACTTACGTCTGATCAAAAGTTCTGACAACCTTGCTGGTAATTTTATGAATCAGTTAACATTTGAAAATCTGTTACAGGAATACATAGTAGAATGTCTAGGCTACAATAAATCTATGTTAGGTTTAGTTCTAATATTTTATCAGATAAAATCAAATTTTAACAAAAAAATATTTGAAAAATAGATAAGGAATTTGAAATATGTTGCGCATAGATACAAAGACAATGTACAAAGAATATTAGGACCTAACGTCTCATCATCTCAAACATTTATAACGTAGGCAAAGCGTTTTTATGAAGAATGAGAAGATGCCCATGTTGACTCGATTTAACTGTTCGATTTCCGAGCTGACAAATGTAGATATTAAACGGATTCCGGAAGTTATCAACCATGGTCTATATTTTATTGATGATGATGATATTATAGCTGAGACTCCTTTGTCTCATGTTAGAGTAGAGCAAATTATCCACAATTGTATAAAGATAAGAAAAGTCACATCACCTGTGGTGTCTCATCAAATCAATGATGTACAAAAGCAAGAATAAATTAGAATTCTCCATGAAAATTCGGTTTTCTATACTCTTTAAATGAAATCGCCATGCTCTTCCACATAACATGAATAATAGCAATACGACATATCATAATTATTGTATTGAAAATTGTCTCAAGTTTGTTGTCAATAAAATATGGTAACGAAGTAAGCCATCAGATACAAAACATACAAAATTAGTTCATGGCAATGTTCGATGCCATGCTCATTTAGACATTATTAGTTATGCGGCACAAGAAGATGTCAATATAATGTTATATCCATCATTTTCACTAGATCATATATTATGTGACTTTTTCTAGTAAACAATTATATCAAACTTTATTTAACTGATCAGACAAATGAAAAACCATTAGTTCGTGTGGTTTCCAAGATAATTAAACATACTCGAGAAGAAAAGTTCAAAAAAGTATTTGACAAATTATTAGATAATATGAAACTTTGTACAAATAATTACGATGACTATTTTCAACATTTATTTTAAAAAATAAATTAAAAATATCTCTTTATTTTTATTTAATGTTGTTGTTCGAAATTTTTGATCAATTCTAAGTAATAAACACCAGTAAAGATGACTATTTTTCAAATAGGTATTAAATCAAAAATGTTCATAATACTTTTAGAGACATTCGAACAAAAAGTTAACCAAAGCTTGATAAATAGAAAAAAAACCATTCTAATTTTTGAGAAATAGTAGGAATCATTACCTAACCTTTATTTTTTTTTCAGACTGCTTATTTAATATGCAAATGATTTCTTAATAATTCAAAAGGTAAAATGTTTGCTTTTGATTGATCAACGATAGTGAAATTCTTTTGTCAAAGCGTATGTTAAAGTAACGAAAAAATACAAAGTTGTTGTTTTTTTCCTGGATTATTAGAAATCTATTTTTAATAAATACAGGGTGTCTGGAAAGCAGCTCCCTATTTTAAATTCTTTATTACTCTCAAATAACAAAAGATATCATAACAAATTTTTCACTGTTTTGAAGCATTTAGAATATCTAAAAATAACTCATTATTTTTAGAAGTTTATTATTGTTAAATGAGAACAGATACCATAACAACCTTTTTACTGTTTTGACGTGTACCTAATACTATAACATATAATGTCTCAAATTTCTACATAGGACTCTCCGTTGTTCATACATTTTTGTAGTTGCTATGGGATCTATTATCGTATAATAATAATAAAATTCTCAAAATAATGAGTTATTTTTAGATATCCTGTAGATGAAATTCGTGCTTGATCTTAGATCGTCAAACGATCAATCAGCTTGTTTCATCTACAACAAAATGCCATGACACATGCTTCAAAACAGTAAAAAATTCGTTATGATATCGTTTGTTGTTTGAGAGCAATAAAGAATTTAAAATAGGGAGCGACTTTCCAGACACCCTATATATATATATATATATATAATATATAAATGTAGATAAAAAAAAGAAGCGAAGTTAGTCATTGCGTGTTTAGATTTAACAAATATTCGTTTCATATATCCATATAGAAAAAAAAAGAAGTAAACGCTCCATGAAATAATGTATATAGCTTGTGTTCCCATTTATGGTAATCATTTTCGTGCTCGTTCTTGTGTTGGTACAGCAGCATATTTTGATTTAATATATCGCATTAAAGTAAATGTAGCAAGTATAGCAAAAAGTATAAAAACCAATTCAATAACCAATTTAGTTATATCTTCAATCAAAGCATAATTATCAACATAGGCTTTATCATCATTTGTTGATGTTACTGCGGCGGGGTTAACTGAGTCATCGGGATTTATCAAAACATTAGAAGCTCTCGTTGTTGTTACTAGACGAGTAGGTGCTGTTTTAACAATACGTATTATACCAAAGATCAATGTTAAACCGAATACAAAAGTAAGCACAACACCTGAAACCATCAATATTACTGCATTATCAAACCTAAGTAAAATACACTTTTAATAGAAAATATTTCAAGCAATTACATACCATGTTGCATAAGTAGCCAAAAAAATTGAAATAAGAACTAAACCACCAATAGCGATCGTTGCAATGGCATAGGGATTTGTTGGTCGTCGAATTGTTTCAATAATACCATGAATAACATATCGAAATAATATACTCGATAATAGAAAACCATAGAAAACAGTTAATAAAATGCGAACACCACGAATTTGTTTTTTTTTATCAAGAGCCATCGTTTATCTACAAGAATGAATAATTTGTATATTCAATTCGTCAATATACCTCTCTAAATGAATGTATGTACAGTTAGAATCAATATATGTATTACACATATTGAATTTATCGATTAGTGAGAAGCGAACTGCCATCGACCAAAATCTTGATGAAACATGATATCCGAAAACTTTTAGATACTCATTTTTATATATAAAACCAGATGAAACAGGTTTTGAACCATGCTAAAGTCATTTACTTAATCAATCATTCTACCATAATAATCAATTAATTACTCAATAAAAACAAAATGATATAAAACGGAAAAACTTAAAAGAAAACAGTCCAAACACATGATAGACGCTGCTGATAAAAAGCTTACTACTCGATAAAGCTCAACCAAGTATCCACTGTTCCTCTGATGAAAATAACAAGCAATGTCATTGAATTAAAAAAAAGACTACATGATAAAATTTCAATAAACATCCAAAATCGCTACGTCCCCATCATTGCAGAAAATATGAACTTTTTGTAAATGAAAAGAAAATTGATCAAAAGAATTCTAACCAATCGTCAATGTATCCATGTCCCATCATCGAAAAAAATAGATAATTTTTGCAAACGAAAAAAAAATCTAACCAATCGTCAATGTCCTCATCATTAAAAAAAAATAGATATTTTTTGCAAACGAAAAAAAATTGATAAAAAAAATCTAACTAATCGTCAATGTCCCCATGTCCTCATCATTGAAAAAAAAATAGATAGTTTTTGCAAACGAAAAAAAAATTAATAAAAAAAATCTAACCAATCGTCAATGTCCCCATGTCCCCATCATTAAAAAAAATAGATAATTTTTGCAAAGGAAAAAAAATTGATAAAAAAAATCTAACCAATCGTCAATGTCCGCATGTCCCCATCATTAAAAATAAATAAAAAATTTTAGTAAACGATAAAAAGAATTCAATGAAAAAATAAAACTTCAGAAGAATATTGAAGTCTATATATCAATTTGGTGTTTAATTTCAATTATGCATCGACTTAATTTTGACTAGGCAAAGTTATATCCAATATTTTCAAAACAACAAATTTTATCATTAGTTCAATTTTGCCTGAATACCAAATTTGCCTGACACATATACATCTTATGCTTCTATTTCGTTCTAGGTTTTTTTTCTTGTTCTCCTCTATCCTCGCGTACTAAGAGCACACCCAGCTTACTTCATGTATGTATTGTATGAATCAAACAGAAAAGATTCAATTTGGGCTACTCATATAAAGAAATATTTTTTTCTTTCTTTTTTTTTCTTTCTACGTCTTTCTGGATCTCGCATGTGCCTATCTCATCGATGTACGCTATTGTGTAACCGACGGACAAAATAGTTTTTATTGGTTCTTACTAAATATACTAGCAACAGAAGAACAACATACAATGTTCTGTGTACTCATCGACTTATATCATATGCAGAAACATAAAGAAAAACGTATCTATACATTTTCTTATGTTGTCTGTGACAAAAACCAAATGCCATAATAGATATTTCTTTTTTTCTTTTTAATAAGCACCAGTTGGTATAAATGAAAGAGTTGATCTACTTTGTCTGATTGTGAATATACAAAAGAAAAATTTACAAGCATTATGAATATTACATCATGCTTAAATAAAATAACCAATATAGAACTAAAATAATTCTTCTTATGTATTCATTCTATTAATTTTTATTTAATTTTGATAAACATATTGAAATTGAAAATTGATTTTGAATAGTTCTGTTTGAAAATCATAATATAACTATTTTTGATTATGATGAACATTACTTTGGCTTTGACATTTTAACAATAGAACAAAGATATGTAGGTCATAGGAAATTGAGACATGATTGTTGCCTAGCCAATCATAAAAACGTATCAAAAGAATACGGAAGTTATCAATGTTTTATTCAGTTCAAATACGAAACAATGTATTAGCACAATAATACTTTTTATTCATTTTTATTGTTATATTTTTGCATTCAAAACAATAATAATCATTAGTAGAATTTTTCATTTTGCTTTGTCTTTTAATAAAGCTTTGTTGAAAGATAACTGATAATTTTATTCTAATTTATATACCATTATTCTACAGTTTAGAATTGATAATCATCTTGTTTATGGTCTTGATAAGCTGGAATGTACAACATCAACACAAATATGATATTATTGTTTTTAGTTTATCAATATAATTTGGCCTTTCTATTACGTTTCATGAATATAGTAGTACTGATATTATTAGAATTCTTATAATAGTAACATAAATACGTAGAAATGCTATCATTGAGTTTCATTTTAGTAACTCCTAAGGCAATAAATATACTTCATAATGAGATTTTGCTCATATATAACGATGCTATAAATGGTAGAACTTTTTTCTTCTAGAATCAGCATAACATTTTTTATAAGACTCTTATTTGGAAGGTAAAAAAATGGGAGAAGAAAAGTTTTTGAATGCTACTTCGATGAAATACAATTACTGTCTTTTTTATTGAATTCATATCTTTCATGAGAACAAATGAAGAAAAAAATTCATGTAATCGTAGTCACTGAAGACAAACAAAAATATTTGCAGCTTCTATTTAATCTGGCTTAGATTTTTTTTTTGTACAGCTCTTCTTCACTTGTAAAGAAGGACTCATATTTCTAGTTATTGATAATGTATGATTTAATATTTACTTGTAGAAAATGCAATACTTCTTCAAAACATTATTATAAGCCAATGAAAAAATATGAAAATTTACACCAAAAATGTGGTGTACTGCTTAAATGTATTAATCTGATGGGAAGAGAAAACTGCTTAAGTCTGGTATACAATATTAAGTCTAATAAGAACCTGTTTTTTCTTCTCAAAATAGATAAGTTAAGTCATGTGACAAAAAAAACCTTGAGTCATTTTATAATATAATAATAGTAGTGATTAAATCATGGTTTTTAAGAAACCATATGAATATCTAAATAAGATTATTCTATCATAAAAAGATAAAAACAGTCTATTTAACATTCATACTGTTTGCGTTACAAACATTTGGGTTTATGGGATGTTCTTTTTATGTCCTTTTCATTCTACCTTGAAATACTAATTGAAAGGCTTCTCTATTTTTAATAGACATATTAACCATAAAAAATTTCAATATGTTCTAATTAGAATTGATATTGATCTGTGAGCTTCAATAAGATTCGCCAGCTGAATGTAACCTATACTAGTCGAATGGGAAACTTTTTTATGGATATTTGTAGAAGTAGTTCTATGGCGTATTTTAAGTTAAATAACTGATGAAGCTAAAATTCTGTATTGATTTTGTTTCTGATATAGCATTGCAATACAATATCATAGTGTCTTGATACTATTTTTTGTTTGTTGGAAACAATAAAATGCCTAGTATCAAAATGTATAAAAGAAAATAATCAAAAATGTTTTCCGAAAGTTAGAAAAATTTTAGAAAAAAAGATTATTGGAAAATTCTTTCCCAACTCTTTTGAATTATTAGAAAACAAAAAATAAAAACTGAATCCTGCTTCACAAGAGAAGTTGTCAGGCACTATATGTTGTACATAAAAAAGAATTTTATTGAGCTATCTAATGAATGATATTAATTGAAATAGAACTCTAATTTTCTGATTGACTTTTTAAAAAGCTTCGTTTTTACTTTGTAAATGCGATCTTGTATGGTAGATCAATTATTTTACTGTCAAATAAAAGTCTTTATTGTAATGAACAGCCGTATATGTATAATGCTAGAAAATATTGAAAGTATATGTCAAAATAGATCAAACAATTATATTCGATTAATAAAAATCATGAGCAAAGTTGTGGAAGAGTTTTTGAATGCTTTTTTTTCGAAGATTTATATAGCTTTTAGGAAACATTTCCAAAGACTAAATGTTTGCGATTGCTTTTATTAGTACGACCGAGATAGATGAGGATTATTGAAAACCTTTGATGTATACCTTTACATGGTTTTCTCTCACATACTTCTACTAGCTACTGAAATATAAGAAGATTTATTAGTAATACTTGAGATTATAAGTAGAGAGAACTTTATTAGCACATTACAGTATAAATTTAAGACTCAAAGTTTATTAAATTTCTACTATATAAATATAATAATGCGTTTTATACTATATATACGTGATGTAACATCATCTACATAAAATGAATTCTATAAAATACAATGTCGAATCAGTTCGCAGTAATTTTGATAAAAACTCAAATAAGAACTGGACTAATATATCTGTACTTCAATCTCAATTGAGAAGTATTACACGCATTATAATCTTGCGTGACACATTGACACTATTGTTTCTGTTTCTTATTAATCAAAAGTTTTATGACGATGATATTTTCAATGAAAAAAAATCTCTTGTGACATTCAGTGGGTTAATCAAATTTTTAAGTTTTGTTTCATAGTTTCGATTCATAGGGAATAATACAATTTTCTCGTCGTGTTTCACTGGTTTTCATTCTATAGCACTTCGATTGTTTTCCGATGGATTGTTTAATCGTAGAATTATTTTTAATCTCACATGACAGAAAATCGAATAATGTCTATACATCTGAGATTTATAAAAATCTTGTGATAAAACATCAATCAGTGTTTTTCTATTCGAAAAATGTAGACTGTTTTCTTTAATTCTCTTAAGTTCTAAAATTTACATATGAAAAAAAAATGAATTCGTTTTTTCAGATCTCAACTACTTAGCCTCTTAGGATTTATCTTAGATAAATCTTTGATTTCTTTTGTTTAGCAGGGAGGACTTATTAGAAAAGCCTAATCTGAAAAAACTCATAAAGTTGTAGTTCACTCATATATGTTAAAAAGAAATAAATTAATGATAATGATTATTAGTATAGAAAAATACTTCACATTTGGAAATTTTTATGTCTTTCTTTCAATGAACTTCGATATCTATGAACCACTATCCACTTTTGCTTGTTTATGCTGATGACATTTAATCATGGTATCTCTCTTGCATATACGCAAACATTACGTGCTGCAATGCATTACGGATGTCTCAAAGCATAAAATAGACATTTGTCAATATTCGTTCTATTTGTTGAATTGCATAAATCAAACATCTACACACATACATATATGTAAATATATCACTGAATGTAAATAAAAACTAAACTAAGAAAAAATAAGAACAATTGAACCAAATAAAAAACAAGTAAAAGATATGTCTCTGCATAGGAACTAAGTATAAGAACTTGCAGAATTCACTAATCGATCAATCTATTAGAAGGAAAAAAAAATAGTTATATTATTTTCATTATTTGATTATGTATACCTTTGAAATGCCTCGATGAATAAATAAATCAAGAACAAATAATTCTTCTTTTGTTTCTTGTAAATCACGTTTATACGTTTGCCATTCATTTCTATTTGGTCTGAATTGTTTTTGATTTTTATTCGAAGATAAATCAGCATTAAGAGATGTTTCAATAACCTAATAATATTTCATCATAAATAATATTTACGAAACATTTAGAAAAAAATCGCAGTATTTATGTAAATACTTCTTTAACAAGTGGTCGCTCGATACTTTGTTGAGCATCAATTACTGATAATTGGTGTCTTTGTAAATTTTCTATTGTTTGTTCAAGTTCAATTATAACCCATTCGAATCGATCAAGAATTTGTCTTCGGACATTAATTAAATCTTGATCATCATAGGATTCATCTGATTGTATATATTGATTAAATAAATGTAAACGATGTTGACTTACAGCAGTAAGATATGTTTTTAATAATTTTAATAATTTCTAAGAAATATTAAATAAATTTATACAAATCAAAAACAAAATATCAAGTGTTATTTTACGGAACGAGTCAGTTCATTAGATGGATCAGTTTGAACATATTTACTTTCAAATTGAAAAGTCGTCTAAAATAACGAAAGACTTTTAAAAAAAAGCTACGACTTTTTTTTAAACACTTACCATTGAATGAAAATTTTTATTTCTATCAATTATTATCCTATAGAATTTTCGATTTTGTTGTGATCAAAGGCGAAAAGAAATGTCGTTCAAAGACACATGTTTCTTTTGCTCACCTTTTTTCTTTTCTTGTTCAACACACAGAATTGCTTTTCACGTACGATAGCTTATATACACATATGAATTGTCAAATGACAGAATGGCTTTGACAAAAAAAAAACAGAACATAGAATAACAAGTAGATTATGGTTACTGTTCTGTTAATGATATGTTTGCGTGTTGATGCTTATCAAAATATGATTTACCTGAAAGCTAGACAAGGTCGATACGAGCATAGATTCCAGTTTTTTTTTTCGTTCGATATATAGACATGATGAAACTTTTTATCAATAGATCTGATGTTTTGTACCATATATATTCTTGTTTTTTTTTTCTCGTTAGAAGTATTTACAATAAATAAATTATTATCGAGTTTAAATACATGATTTGATTCTTTTTTTTTGGTGTTATAGTTAAGATTACAGTTGAAATTTTTGTGTATTTAAGTTTTATTTATAACTTAAATTCGTGGGACTAATGTTAAAATATATATTCATTTTCGACAATGTTTTATATTTGTTTAATCGATTTTTCAATGCCAATAAAAATCAAGGGCACACAGAAGAAATGAGAATAAATATAAGAAAAAAATTAGTCGATACAATAAAATCTTGTTCAAATATCATTTGACTCAGGTTGTGTCGAAGAGTAATCTAAAAGCAAAGTATGGAAATAATTAATGATATAATTAATTGATCTTCTGTATTTTTCTTATTTAAATCATGCAATAACAAGCTTGATAATTTGTAAATGTTAGTATGAACTTATAAATACTGTTATCATAAAGAATAATCTTACCCAAATCAGTTTTACCAAACGATTGTAATTTTAATAATAGATCTAATTTATATTGATTGTTCGATGAATCCAAAGTTTCAATATTGAAATTATCTGTAGATGGTTCTTCACATGAAGCAGTACGTGATGCAAATAATCGTTGACGACGATGTTGTTTTGTCGTTTTCGTATAATGATAGGATAATTTTTGATGATGATTATTTACTTGAACCATGTGATTATTATTTTGACTTTTCTTAGATAGAGAATTATCTACAGTTATTTTGATGCGTTGTAATAGCTCATCAAAGTCATTAGTCTTCACTGTTGATGACAATTGATGAGACAAGTCAGACTCGTTTGATGTTACTGATATAGTTGTAAGCGTAGAAGAAACTTTATTATCGACCAATGTCTTGTGATTGTCATCGGTATCAAATGGCATTGATGTTGATTGTTGAGATGATAAGTAATTTATTAAAAGAGACGAAATATTGTTAACGAATGCATCTTCTTCATCAGTAGTAGTCTTTTGAGAAGATGGAATACTTTTCGATGTGTTGGATTCGAGAACAGTAGGGTCCGATGAGAGCTTTGAATCAGACGTTAAATCAGAAAGACTAACTGTCTATTGAACAGAAAGAAACAAAAAATGAAAGATTGATTTAATTATTGAAGTTATTTTTTATAGTATAGAAGTTACAATGTTTTACATACACATTATTTTCATTGTAACATATAGATATATATACATACAGATAACTTACCGCACTTCGTTTTAAACAAGCCACTGAACCTTTCCGTGAATTTTGTCTACTACTAACTTTTGAATGAGATTCACGTGGCAAAAACAGATTAGGCTGATAAGTAGTTGTTCGACTAATAGGAAACATGAGAGTATTTTGATTGTTAGTATGTTGTGGACAACAGAGAGTTGTCGAACTAATGAAAGGTTTTGAAGAATTTTCATCAGTTGTATAAGCTATTGCATTGTCTGGTGGAGGTTGTGTTATATTTCCTATCGTTGAGTTGTTATCTGTTTGTTGTTGAGACACGGGTGGAGAAAGTAAATGGAGTAAACTATTAATTTTTATAAATTTAGATGCAAGTAAAGAATTTTCTTTCTCTGAAGCATCCATTAAATGGATATTATTTATTTGTTCAATAAACTCTTCATCATAAAGTGCTTCGTTTGTATCATGCATATGTCCTGCTAATACCAGGTCATATATACCTTGTCTATATAATTCATATTGATTATATGGCGTAAGAATGGATGCCAGTCGAACTTGATTGATAATTGATTTAATAAAAATGACTTTTCGTACGGTACGACGAAAACGACGAAGTACAGCATCACGTCTACGTTTATGACTGTGATGAGTACTATCAGTTTTTAATTTTGCATGTGATGAAGCAAGTAATGCTGTCGAAACATTTTTAAAATGAAGTGCTCCAAATATTGCTGGTCCAAGTGAAAGATGATAAGGACCAAGAAAAAGATGAAGAGTATCATCACGATTATCAACAACGGATAAAACATTATAAACATTCGAAAGACGATCTACCATACGTGATAAATTATTAATTTTGAACAATTCTTAGTAAAACAAACAAAAAAAAACAGAAGAAATAATCTTTAGTGTTTTGTTTTGGTTTTAAATAATTGAATTCATCTACCTAATTCAATATGTGGTTTCATTTCAGGAAATAAATTAGTTAATTTTTCCAATTTACATGTATTAAAATGTGATTCATTGATAAAAAATCTATATGGTACAAATCGATAAACACTTGTATCGAGTGAAGACATTGTTGATGTAAAATTCGACATATCAGAATTTTTCTAGATAAATACATATTAAATACGAATATTATGTCATATAATGAAATAGCACGAATAACAATATGTAATTACCTGTAGAAACAGCAATTGAGAAATTCTTAATATTCAAAAAAAAAAAAATCAGACAAATTTATCAACAACAATAATTACAAACACAAGGTGATAAACGAAAAACAATTGTAAATAGAACGCTAATACTGCTTAGACGTGCACGTTAAAATATCAAGTATAGCTGACATTTTTCCTTTTATATGTACGTTTTTTTTATGAATCATTCGTTGTTTCATTCTGTACGCATTATTTTTTTATATTAGTCGCAATTTTTCTTGTCAAATCAATAATGCATGTCGACAGAAATATGCAAATATATAACTCTTATTATTTGAATGGAAATTTCTTTTATTTGTTCTCGGCATAGATTCACTTAGAATTGAAAAATTACAGACAAGATATATTAACATTGTTCAAGCTATAGTTGATTCTTCTAGTTTTTTTCGTTTCAATCAATTAAAATTGATTATATGCATCTAACCTATACCTATACCCTTTTGCGTTTGTTAACTTACAGGGCATATGAAGGTGAATAGTTATCTATCTTCA